GCCGAAAAACGCTTCTAAAAGTTTGAGTCCTTAACCACATACCTTCATTTTTATACCAAAAGTAGAGTATGGCGAGCTGCGTCGAACGGCGCAAGGACGACGGTTCTAGCTTATACACTTTTTGAGGGAAGCTCAAATTACTGTGTCAAGATTGTCACAGCGTCACGCTTGGACAAGCCGTGTAGCAGAAATGTTTGATACCTAGACAAAGAGATATTGTTGAATGCGGGTATTTGTAGATTAATATGTTTCTAGGCCTTACAGAAATGATGCGCTTATGCTATACGAAATGTAGAACGGCAATCTAATACATAAGTTGAATTTTACACAATAACATAACTACTTACTTTTATCCTTTTAAAATAGGATAGTACTGTAAAAAAATTCAAGCTATACAACATTAGACGGCGTTCCGAGCTTTATATCGCTTAATAACGCAGTTTCTGTAATGCCTAGAAAATATTAATCCATAAAGCTTCGCATTAAACTTAAACAACATCACTTAATCTCCGTAGATATCAAATATTTGTGTTAAAAAGCCCTTAAAGTTTCAAGCTATTGCTGTGACAGATTTTTACCAAACTATTTGGGTACCCAGTAAGTACTGGTCCAGTATACCAGTATAAATACTGGTACTGGCGCATACCTAAATGGAACTTTATATGCTATATTGCTTCTGTGTTTTCTTATCAGCTTATGGCGAAGAACTATTCAACCTGAGAATGTACCGAAAAAAGTTGATGTGTCACCATGAGCAAATGTTGGTCATTTTGTCTTTGTTTAGGGTCGGTATTGGATAGGCTATTGGAGACCATGGAATGAGGCTCAAGAAAACTCACAAGAAAACCAGAACTTTGTACCAACCTTGTATTTGTATCCAACCTTTAGAGAGAGATACCACTAAAATAGTGACTTCATTTTCTTTCTGAAATAAATGGATGGCTCAAACTGTTTTGTTGAGTTTTTATTTTCTTGAACAACAATTGAAAAGGATTGAAAATATTATATTGGAGTTTAGTTTGTAACGGCAAGGTAAGAAGAACTTGTTTCATCTATGAGCCCTGGTTTAGCCAGAAAATGATAAGAATTATTATAATTTAAAAGCTCTTGAAAGTCGCTTAGTTAGGACATAAGCGTTGAGCACCGTTTGAAGTTTATGTACAGTGATTAATCGAAAACGTTTGAGAATACTACTACAATACAACGCTCGACAAACTACATTTTTAATCTAATAAAGTTCTTGTGAAAAGTTTCAAAGAACATATATCGCTGTGATAAAATGCTATTGATCGACCATTATTACGGAAAAATAGCAAATGCTACTGCTGATGTCGTGTTGATGTCAAAAGATACAATCTGTTTTTCCTCTCTGGTCAGAATCCTCTCCCTAGCTCCGCCACGCTTAGCAAAAAGTCTCAAGTGGATAAACATAATAATACGATACGATAAACTCATAACATGTTACAAAATAAATTTGTGTTGAATAAATAAATAGATCTGAAATTCGTTTACCATTTAATTTTCTTCTCATTGTTAATTTTTTCTTCATTGACCAAAATATAAAGCAAATATACCACCTGGAAAAAAATAAAATTATTAATAAAACAGTAATCATCAACTCAAATGAACATTTATTACCACGAACATAGTATATACATAACGATGGAGAGAAAACAGCCAAAGCAAATAATATCCAACTAGACAAATGATAAAGAACAAAAAACAGAAGTGTCCTTTTATTCATCTGCTTACAATATTCTCACTTTTGCATTTTATTCATTCAATAGTTGTGCTATATATTGATTGAAAAACAAATCACGATCATCGTGAAAATGAAGACCAAATACTGTAGTTTAAATCATTACCTATATGTGGAACAGAACTGATGATCAACTGCACGTAACGAAATAGAACACACAATAATGGTTTCTGACCTAGCAATCAAATAACGGAAATTAATCTATCGATAATAATAGTTCCTTTCTACCGAACGATTTCTTTGATTAACGGAACACAGACTGCATTTACTATTTTTGTACCATGAAAAATTTCGAATTCGTCGCTTCTATCGCTGTTCGAACCAAAATAACGGCAGGTATTTCATTCCACTTTCTGCAGGCGTTAAATAAACAAAGATTTCGGTGTGCTGTCATTATTTTTCTTGCTGCAAGAGATTTTCTTTAAAGTGTAATAGTGATAAAACATCTGAGGCCACCAGTAGAACATAACAATATACAAAGAGAGAGGAAAAAACATTAGACCGACTTGGTACGTGGTTCAACGAAAAAGACATTCAATCTGTAAAAGTTTCATTTTACATTAACTGCCGCTCTCGATCATCACTATGTGGAAGAAAAAAGTCGATTTTTGTGAATATACGCAATAAGATACGTGAACAAACCGTTATGTACACTCTCTACATCAAAGCTTTTTTCTTTTGTCGCTCTTTATCTGGGTGATTTCATACCGAAGGAATTCTTCTTGACTTTCTGGTGAATGTTAACGATGTTGAATTTAGTTTCAAAACCCTTAAGGATCTTCATAAGGTTTTCTGAAGATCCTCTGGAGGCCTGTTGCACAAATCTTTTGTTTCCGTTTTTTCCTTCGTCGAATAAAGCATAAAACGTTGGATCATGTGGTAACCTTTTACTTTGTTTTCAGGTTCCTTTCTGAGTCAATGTAGGCGAGTACTTTCGAAAACTGAGATCTTGGATGGTTTTTGCCAGTTTTTCTCAGAGTTCATTTCTTCGAAAAACTAGAAATTAGTCTAAATTTAAGATTTTTTCTCATAAAAACTTTTCTGAAACTTCAAATAGTGATATGTGTGATCAGCATGGTCGACTTCATATTCCCAAGTGGGTTTGGAAAAAATGAAAAATGAAAAGTTTTCCATTCTACCGAGGCACACTCACTCAATCTTCCAGCTGATCAGAAAAGGATCCTAATTTCCACGTAAATATTTCCCGTAAATATTTTTTTTTTTTATTTAAAATAGTATTCGTTCTCTCTCTATCAACGTACACCAAAACCGTACTCGGAGTGGAAAAAAGCTTACAGATTTATTGTTCTTTTTGTTAGCTAAATTACACAACTTGATGATCAATTTTTGTTGGACATGTGTAACGATGTTATGTTAACAAAAGAAGGAGGAAAGAAGAAACAAATCTTGTGTCGCGCACACGTACACATGTAAGAGAGGAAAGAAAAAACAAGAAGAAAGCATGTTTTGGCGATGATTGCCATATAAAAGTCAAACAAAAAGCAAAAAAAACGAGAAATTCAAAAAGATCCTTTTTTCATGCTGCTTTATTTATATTAAACCTTTTTTCGATTGCAAGTGTTATTATTTTGTTGTACGGTAGTAGAGAGAGCGACTCATCTGCTCCATTCTTCGGAAATATCTACGTGAAAATTAGGATCCTTTTTCGATCAGCTAAAAGATATATCTCCATTAGAAACACGCCCTTGCTTTTTTAACGTAAAAGTATCTTTTCCTTATTAGGCACAAGAATACGAATGGCTTCGAACGACGAGAAAAAAGGAAAATCAAAAGCAACCATATGTGGCTCGTGCCAAGAGGAACTTGAACCGGATCATTCTGGTATACAATGTGTACAAGGTCATCATTTTTGTCCGGTTTGTTCACAAAATATTGTTACAATGTTTTTCTCGGATCCAAGATCTTACACACCACTGAAATGTCTTCAATGCAATATTTTATTGAATGTATCTGTTTTCGAACGACAACTAGAACCACATCAAATTGAGCATTATCGAACAATAATGCTTACTTTAGTTTATGCAAAAGATATTTTAACTGAAGGTGAAGAATTATTGCATTGTTCATTTTGTTCGTATGCCGAAATTAGGCCCAAAGGTACAGATTTTCTCTATTGTCGACATGAAGATTGTTCAAAGGTGTCTTGCTTAATTTGTCTCAAAGAATGTCCTAAATTTGAAGAGAATTATGATGATGATGAAGATGAAGATGAATTTCAACAAAAAACCGATGAGATGGAAAAACATTTTATGTGTGTTCAACTGAAAGATGATAAGAAAATTATCGATGATGCTATTGAACAAGGTCAAAAACTCCCGTGTCCCCAGTGTGGCCTTGCTGGAATGAAAGATGATGGGAGACAGCCATTTAGAATATTCGATAAAAAACGGTCTTTCTGATCCCTTCATCTGTCCTTGCCCGCGCAACCTTCCTGGCCGCGTTCGCGCAATTTTGGACAGCCCTTTCCCTTCCCATGAACTGTGAGCCCTAAACGGATGATTTCTTGCATGTACCCACATGACATGCCCCACATGCAGTCAACAGTGGTGTTACTTTTGCGGAAAGAAAGCAGAAGATTGTGATATGACATTGAATTCAACATCAACAGGAACGATTTTTGCTCACAATGTTAATTGGCATAAAAATCCTTCAAGATGTCCTATGTATTTTACACAGATTGCGGATCATGATGAACGATGGCCAGATAGTGACGAAGAATGTTTATTTGTTTTTCATCGTCGACGATCATTATTCCTTCTCCGAAAAGCTTATGAACAATTAGGTGAAGAACGATTTAGCGAACTTAATGCGCATTTTCATATTATTGATACATCAGGATTTACAATGGATGAAATTAAAGATGAAGATTTAACCCAAATTGTTTATAAAGAAATTGATACTAATGATAGTGATAATGATAGTGATAATGATAGTGATAATGACGAGTGATAAATCTTATTTTGAATTAATTAAGAATCTAAGATAAATATTTTTTCTCTTTATATATAATAGATGAATGAAAGGTCTATAATAAAGTAAAAGCCTCTACGACTTAAACGCGCGTGACTAGGCATGCAGCAATCCCAAACTAGCAATCGCTAATCAGCACCGAACGGTTTGTTATCGAACACGTTCGGTCACCAAACTGTTCGCACCCGAATATGTTCGATCACCAAACGGTTTGTTGTTGTCGTTATTGAACATGTGCGCTGCCTTTCAGCGAGCCCTAGCTTGGGATGGTTCCATGCCTGATCTGGATTAGAGGCAAATTGTATGACATTGAAGCTTTTGAAGGAACTAACCAGTGAGAAAATGGACTAAAGTACAATGTGAGCGAATGTGTCTTCTACCGGATCGCTATCAAAGGTTTAATAGAAATAGTTTGTCAAAGCTAAGAATTTGAGAACAAAGAAACACATGAAAGAAATCTTTGTAAAAAAACAGTAAAAATGGTGAAGATTACACCGAACGGAGGAGTAGCCTTGATTACGCCGTAGCCGTAGGTAGTCATGTATAGAAAAGTTTGAATCAGAGCAGCAAATTTATGTTTGCTTTATTCCAGGAAGTTGAAAGTACTTTTAGTTTCCATTATATCTGATTTACTCTCTAATCATTTACTAACGTGACCTCTGTATAACAGATTGATTTACTTTGTTTTCATGCAAAAAATGGTTTTCCTCACTGTGCAAAAAAAAGTAGACAGACAAGTTGCAGCTCTAATTTGAATGTATCTTATAAGGTTTATGGTACTTTCTCCTAATAGTTTGTCAGCAGAGCGCTCGTCGATGTCTCTCATGAGAAAAAGATAAACTATCGTATTTCCAATCTTCGTCCGAACATGGTCGGTAGCGATCAGGTAGAAGGCACATTCGCTCACATTTTTGAATTTGTTGAATTATTACGTGATGACCATGCATATCAACATCATCAAGCTGAAGAATCCGATATTCAGACGCGGAAATGAAAAAAAATCTATAATGACATTGATAATAAACTAGCAGTGAAATGTTAGTTCTTAGTTCATACCAGCAAAGTCAGCATAAGATCAGACTTGTAGTTTATGGCTGGCTACAAAAATATTACATTAATATATTTATTTGTATATATTTGAATGTATAATATTCTTCATGTTCAGTCGTATATTAATAAATTAAACTTTCTATATATTCTTATTCTTGTCTGTCTACTCATTAATTCGTGATCATTGCTAATTAATTGCTATATATTTTTCTTCTATATATTTTTTTTAATTGATTTGGTGATCAAAAGTGTTATTTCTTTTGGGGGCTGATCATTTCGAAGGAAATTTGTTGATCAAAACACATTTTCCCCTAATACGAATAATTTAATTGTTCATGCTACTCGCAGAAGTAAATCATGTAAACATAGTCCTTTACTAAAATAATGTTTCTGTCGCTTTTATATTCCACAAAAGAAATAGATATGTTCGATTTATAATTTGTATCTCATATTGCTTGCTATTTTTTCACATTCAGTACGTATATATATTCATCTGCCGGTAGCATGAACAATTAAATTATTCGTATTTATATTATGTAGGTAGAATGTATATATTTACTTTCTCCTCTTTAAAAGAATTTATTGTCTTTCCGCTGTTCTGAGTATTCTTCTTACAAACCTTGCTGTTCTATAAGCGATATGATTTGATGCACATACACAAAATCAATGCAGAAAGATTGAGACAAACACTTTGCAATAAATATTATTAGGCTTATATCAAACGAAAGTCCAAACAATACAAATTGTAGAAAAATAGTAATTTTTTTGCCCTGGTTTCATGACAAAATCGTGTTTTCTATAGTTGTATACTTCTTCTCATTTCACGATCGAAGCAATATCGGTTTGTATACATTGCTTACAAACAGATCATATATGAAGTATTTCTATTGGCAACTTTTACAGGTATAGCAAAAGTAGTTAGAATCGAAGAAGATCTTCATCTTACGTCAGCAGAATATAACTGGGCTTTGTCAATTTTTTTTTCGGTCATGTAAGTGTCAGTATGTCTTATTTTCTGGATACTGATTTTGATGATGTGCCATGAACAATTCTATAGGTCTTTTTTAAAGTAGTATATGTTATTCAGAACCATTGGAGGATCGAAATAGATCGGTGTTTTAATGTTCAGCTGGGGAAGTAATACCATACTAATGGTATTGGTAAAAAATGCTGTTGGACTATTAATAGCCAGGTTCTTTTTGGTATGTAAATACTTTAGGATTCGTATAATCTAATTACTAAATGATACTTTGTATAAAAGGGCGACACTGAGACTGGTTTCGTACCAGGATGTGTATATTACTTTTCACTGTGGTATGCAAAGCGAGATCAACCTATGCGAATGGCAATTCAGTTTCATTCAGCTGCAAGTCTGTCAGGCTCGTTTGAGGATGTCACTTAGGACGCCCGATAAAACAAGTAGGTCCTACTTCTCCCGAATGAAGCTTGAATATGATTGACTTTTGTACTCATGGATATACGATCCAGAAGTTTCGCAGTCTATGATTACCTGAAAGATGTACAGTACTGGAAAAAATTAGAGTTGTTTTTGATCTTTCTCGTCGTCCATAATAAGTAGAACAAACTTGAAAAAAAGATTTGACTAACGAAAATATCTGAGAGCATATCTTTCGTGTTTTCCTGTTAATTTTGCTGATTTTGTGAACTGAAGGCCACTTAAATTCGAAAAGTTTGCTGTTTTGTAAATTTTGTGCTAAATTATAATAAAGTTTAGATAAGAAAATGAGAGAAGATAACTTTAAAAATTTTCTTTTATTAAAAGGTAGCCAACAGACTTCTCTATTGGATCAAATAGTTCTTATTTTCTCTCCCAATCTTTACACCAAAAAATAATTAAAAATGAAAAAAAAGTGACTTAGAATTGTATTTGCTGAAGAACAAATAATTTTTGTCTTCTATTGTCAGTTGTTCATGAAATCAATTGCTCTTTTGTGACTCAAATAGATTTATTATAAGACCATATACGCATTAAAAAATATACGCATCTAGGGAGAGTAACCTAAAAGTATGTTCACTAGTTTGGATTCAAAAACAAATGGTTCTCGACTGAAAGACATGTCATTTTGTAGAAAAGCATCAGTTCTCTCAAAATATGTATTTGAAAACAGTTTTAAGTGACAGATGGCTGTGGGTCTTTGGCTACTCTCTAAGTGGGTTTTCTAGAAATCTTTTTGTGAAAAATTCTAAGAAATTATCCGTTTACAGAAGGAAATGGAAGCATATGGAGTCGAAATAGATTTGACTGGAGATTTTTTGCAGACGAGTTGAAGAAAAATCTTTTTTGCAAGTTACTTATTAGCATAAGGACATGACTAATTCGAAAATATTTACGCTCAGGTCCTTTCCGTTACCGAGATAAGAGACATTATTTCCTAAAAACTGGCTCTCATTTATTGCTTCAAAGGCAAGATTTTTTGGTGAAATTGGTTATTTAGGCAGCTGCAGTTTTGTACTTAGATTCTGTGGCAGTTGTAATTTTATAAAAACTTCTTGCATGGGCGGCGAAAGCGCGCAAATTTTCTAAATTTTGGACTTTTTCCACTTTTAACCATGTCGGGCTTCTGATTTTTTCACGATTTCTACCAATGAAAAGTAAGCTCGCACCTAGCAACATGTCTCTATACTGTACTCGAGCTACTTATGGTTATTTTA